CCCTCCCTCCCCTCATCAGGTCTGCTCCCAGCTCGCAGGAGCCTGAGCTTATGCCCAGAGGCAACGTTTCCCGGCATGAAACAAAGCGAGCCTGCTGCCCATGGTCAACTTCGACCATTGGGTCTCAGCGGGCAACCCCAGCAAACGACGAGGTTTCAACACCTGCGAGACGCTGCTGTCCCACCAATCCGAGTATCCTCGGAATGCCACCGAGCTAGCCATCTCTCTAGTCAATCTTGTTTTCCCGTACGATGTGCGCAATACGCAGCGCAGTCTCGCCAGAATGTACGACCGCGTCAAAGCTGTAGAGGCCAAAGCCTCCATTGACTCTGCGGCCCGACAGCAGGCGGAGCGATCCATGGCCGCTCTTGAGAAGGAAATGACAGCGTTGCAGGCGATGGTGGCCCAATCCCAGCCCGGCCCATCTGAGCATATGCGCGTCGAGGACTTGGAGACAGAACTTCGCCAGAAACATGAGGAGATGATTGAGATGGTCTCCGAGCTCAACAAACAGCGTGAAAGTCTCTTAGCTGATGTCAACAGGTTGGTTGACCAAACGAAACAAATCCAGCAAGATGTCACGGCACGGAGCATATCGGTCACAGAAGAGCCTACCGTGGCCGGTGAGGATAAGGCCACGCACCCAGGCGAGGCTGCAGCAAAAGTAGTTTCAACGGCACCTGTGCCAGAGAAAAGCGTGGAGGCAGAAAATATCGAACCTGGTATGGCAATAGAAGCACGCTCGTAACTATGTGACTGACTGTCATCAAGTTCCCGCAGACGATATCTCCACTGCTTCAGAGAGTGGGAGCGAACCTAAGAGTCCCAGAAAAAAGGGGCTCGCCGTCGATAGGACATCGACGGAGAAGGCCAGATCTGCGAATGACAATGTGCCGGAGCCAAGCAAAGTCAACAAAGTCATAGGACGAAAGCTTAAACGAACATCTTCCTTGAAACCGGTGCAGCCACCTGCAAGGCGGACTCTAAGGAGCGCAGCCGGGGTAAAATCACGGGAGGCCACTGCAACAGGCCCAAAACTGGCGAAACCAGTCACGCCGCTTCGGAAACAGGGTACAAGACCAAAGACCCATCATCGCCCCGCCGCTAAATCAGTCGAGCGTCGGACTACCGAGAAGAATCAAGTGGTTAAGCAGAAAGCTTCTGACGGTCGACTACGTCGCCTCGCATTTACCAGATTTGCAAAGTTTATCGACGCGAAAGCCAGGGCAGAGGAGCCGCCAACCATCCGTGCCCACAAGTTGCTTATCTGGGAGTTCATTGACGGCTTGGAGGACAAGGAAATGTCTATCTTTGTACAGAACATGTTACTGAAAACGTTTCCGGAACTGGTCGTCCCCTCCAAGGGCCGGGGCAAGCCCTTTCGCCGCATTATCCTTGAGGGGCAACTAGAGTGGTGTCAAGTACTGGAGGCTATTAAGAGCATGCCAGTTCCCCCTTTCTTCTTGGATGAGACTTGATACACCCTGTCTCGGGACTCGATACCAGCCGAAGAGGACTCGCCTGAGATTTATAGCTGTAAACACGAGATGACAAGGATGGGAGTATTATCTGAGAAGAGTATTGGCCCGTAGTCTCCAAAAGTAAAGCCTCTCGTAATAAAATGCTAGCCTGAATGGCAATGTATTCGATCACCATGAAGCGATCAAGCCGCATACGACCCAGCCAGAGTGATGAGCCTGTCAGCAATGTCTCATGACTATTTTCACGCAGTCGTTAAATCGAGGTCAATTCCCTTCACGGGGGCAGTTCTCTAATAGTATTACGTGCCAATACAAATTGAGAAGAATATAACAAGAACACAGTTCAAAGATATTAGTGACGCGGCTTGCTCGATGACGGGTAACGAGTTTTAGATCCGCAATAATGCCCTCTCCGATTTTGACATAGAGCAAACGGGCTAGCAAATGACAATCAACTGGCCACTTATGGCCCGTGTCTTCCTCCACCCCTGGACTTATTTGCTGTCATTCTCGCCGTTCGTGGCAGCGTTGTTGGCCGCGGCAGCGGCGGCGGCGGCCTGCTGCTGAGCCACAGCGGCGCCAGTCTCCCGCTCGATGCGCGCCTCGATGTCGCGCAGTTGCGACTCGCGGGCCAACAGCTCCTGGCGCTTCTCGTTGATCTCGCGCTGGACTCTGATCTCGATCTCGCGGAACTTCTCCTCCTCCCTTCGGAGCTGCTCCTCCTTGAGGCGGTAGGACTGAGACACCATATCGTCGGGGTTTATGGACGAGTCGCTATCAGAGATGTTAGTGGATCTGGTCTGCAAGTGTGAAAAGGAAACTGGAACGTACGCCTCGGCACCACCCTCCACAGCCTTGGACAGCTTCTCGGTACGGTAGTTCTCGTAGAGGAAGTCGAACGTGATCTCCTTCAGGTCGACCAGGTGGCTGTACAGCAACGCGGAGCGGATGGCCAGGAAGTCAGAGTGCTTGGGGTCATCTACCTCGACAACACCCCACGGGTATTGCCTGGCGCGAACCTTACGACCACCGATCTCCACAACCTCCTCGCTACCGACGATGGCGAAGGGCATAAGGCTTCGCAGCTCAGCATTCTCCTCGACGGTCTCCTCGTCATCCTCCTCGACATCGTAGGGGAAGTTGTAGACGGGAATGCGGTAGTACTCGATATCCTCCATGATCAGCTTCTTGGATTGGGCGAGTTCGGAGGGTGTGAGGGAATCGGCACGGCCGATGACAGGAATAACGTTGACGCGGGGAGCAAGGCGGCGCATGAGCTCAATGTCAAGCTCACGGAGCCTATCGGCTGTTAGTCAATGTGTCACAAATGCATGAGGACAGTAAGTATGCCAGGCAGGACGCACCCATGGCCGGTGGGCGTGATGAAGTAAAGCATGACGTGCACTCGGTTGTCCCTGAAGCGAGGGTTGCGCTTGATCCTCGACTCCTCGGCGAGCTGGTCATCATACTGTCGCTCGAGGTAGCCGGCGATTTCACCGAAACTGTAGAGACGTCGTTAGCAACTATCGACAGACACACGCAATCGCTGTCGGCCGGGAACTGCTCACGAGGCTTCGTTATCAATCTCGTCTCCAAAGCCGGGGGTGTCGACGATCGTCAGCGAGATGCGGGTGCGGTCCTCGTCCAGGTCGAGCTCTGTAGAGGTTCCGTGTCAGCGTTCATCGCTTGTTCAGGAAATTTGGCGTACACGCACCGACAGTAACGGGCTTGATCTTGAGGCCCTGGTCAACCTGGGCGCTCTCGTCATCGACATCCTTGTGTGCCAGCACATCCTTGCCGCAGAGCATGTTGACGAAGGTAGTCCGGCCTGTGTGACGGAATCATGTCAGTTTGCTGTATCATTGGACTCGACCGGAATCAACGCACCAGTTCCCGAGGCACCGCAGACCATCAGGCAGAACTGAATACCCTTCTTCACATTCTTCTTTCGGCGGAAAGTCTGTGTAGCAGCATTGTCAGGTCAGCCCAAGACGTATTTCTCCCCTCCCCACACAGCATCCTCCCACCGACACCGACACTGATTGAGACGTACAGCTGAAGACGACATGTTGGGCGTTTATTTCAATTCGTTCGATCCAGTCAAGATTCGGCCAGGATTCGGGTATCAAAAGGGCGTCTCGGCATGCACTTTGTCGTGACTATGTCGTTGGAGCTGATGCTTGTACACTCGGAGAAATCGTGGCGGGTTGGAAAGGGGGCCAGGAACAATTTCATGAGCCAGCCAACGTCAGGTCGGCTTCGTTGGCTTCAGGGGTCCCTATCGGTGCTGGGCACCTAAGATAACGGCGCAAATTAAGTACCCCTACCTCGCGGCACAGGTCTCTGCCCGGATGGGGATCTGCAAAGGGGCATTCTAAGTCACGTGGGCCAATCGACTTGTTCGTTTGATGAGATGGTCTTACCTAAATCACTTCTTGTCAAAAGAAAGCCCAGTTGCCCGATTTATACTATGTGTGCCGCTTTTACCTGCGTGAACTCGGGCAGAAGCTCTGACCGTTGGTCTTGTAGGAGGATTTGACTTACCTCTAGTTGAATTTCCTTTTGACGAGGATTCCTTAGGTACCTAGGTTCCTACCTGGGTAGGTAGTTGACGAGCGATGGCAGCCGTCGCTCCAGGTCCAGGTACTTGGAGTGGAGCAGCTAACAGCGCCTGGGGCACTCCCGGACAGACGCCCCAGTGGAGGTGGGCTCCCGAGCTCGAACCAACTTCAGCCTGCAAGGCTATCTGCTGTCGGCCTACCTAGCTTCGTGTACCTTGCCTCAGATTTCAGACGTATCGTCGACTTTCCTGCATCCGGGGTTGACTTGAGCCAACTCTTGCCCCCGACACGCCTCCCACCACCACAAGCCTTGACCCAACTCTAAATCCGTCCTTGCAGCCTCCGACACACCTCTCCACAAGTGCATCCATTACCGCCTTGTTTCTTACCTAATCAGCGTGCTTCGCTCTTCGCCTCGCGCACTTCGCGAATGTCAGTCAAGGACGTAAACGACGACTCACACTTCACTCTGCGCGCAAACAGCCACATCTCGACGGTGTCTGCTCTTGTTACCTGGACGATTTCGACTTTCTTCGTCGACACCATCATACGCTGATTCTTCTGCTGGACTCCTCCCCCCTTCGCCATGTCGGGCATCAGCGCTCCTCCGCCGCGGCCGAAGCTGAAGCTCAGCGTGAGTCGCGCTGCTTCCTTCAGCGATGCCAACGCTACAAAGGCGCCCCAGTCAGCCGCTACGCCTCTCGCGACACCAAAGATCAGACTCAAGGCATCACAACCTTCGACGCCGGCCTCTGCGGCACCCAAACCAACAAACGCGAAGACGAAAGCGGGCCGCCAGACCAAGCCAACGAACAAACTGATCGAGTCGAAAAAGAGGGAGCAATACGAGATCGACGATGAGGATGACCCCGTTACTGGGCAGCCGGCGAAGAGGATCAAGCTCCTCAAGACACCCAACTCCGCCTTGCCGCGCACGAGTAGTGGCCTCATCCTCAAGTCGAGGGGCAAGCCCCCGTACCACCCGCCTGGCGATGGCTACGATTCGGAAGCGAGCGACCGCGAGATAGACCCGACCATCGAGGAGCAATTCGTCTTGCGCATGCTGCCTGGAGAGCACTGCGATTACATCCGACGATGTATGGAGGAGGGCAAGATTGGCATGCCCCGGTCGCAGGGCGGCGCAGACCTCGCGATCAAGTGGCTCGAAGACGAGGCACGGCGTGCTGTCGTGCAAGTTAAAGGCCAGCTGTACGCCGCTGTCATGCTCGAGCTGCCTACAATCACGGAGGGTATGAAGACGTGGGACCGCAAGACTTTCATGAAGTCTGCCGACATCTGCAACATGCTGCTTGTTTTCCAGAAGGTAGCATCCGAGGACGAAGCACGCAAGGCCCCTCTCCCGCCCATGGTCCAGCCAGGATTCAAGTGGCCGCACGGGCTCACTCCCCCGATGCACGATGCCGTCAACCAGAGATTCGCAAAAGTCATTGAGCGGTCAGAAATCGAGCTCAAGGAGGCAGAGGTTAAGAAGCTGCTTCAAGCTGATGCGGCTGCCGTGAGCTCGCGGTATGAGTTCATGGACGACCGACAAATGCACTCTGAAGATGAAGGCGACGAAGACGCAGGCTACTCGGATGAGGAGGATGCCGACGGCGAGGTCGATGACAGCGGCTATTTCCCGGCGTCAGGCTACGCTGCAGGTGCGATGGTCGAGGATGATGACGACGACATGGCGGCCGACCTTGAGGCTGCACTTGAAATGGAGATGATGAACGATGACGAGCCAGAAGGACAGACGCCAGCCACACAGCTCGATGGCGTGACGCCGGGTACAATGAACTCTGGCACGCCCGCCGGCCGCGCGCAGGAAAGTGCAAACGAAGAGGAAGAAGAGGAAGAAGTCAGCGACGAGGACGATGACAGCGACGTTGATAACGAGGAGCAGACTCGGATCAAGGGCGTACGCGAGGACATTGCGGCGCTCAAGAAGAGTATCGCGCAAACAGAAGCAGAGCTTGCACAAAACGCAGGCAACAAGATTCTGTCGCGCAGGATTGAGAGCCGTCTACGGAATCTCAAGGCCGAACTGGGGGTCAAGCTTTCGTCTTTACCGCCTGAGGATGAAGAGGAGGAGGAAGAGGAGTAGAGCCGTGACAGAGCAGCCTCTACATGGCGGAGACCCGTAGCACCAACGTCCAAACTGGCACTTATGGGCCCCACCGGTAAATGACCATGACTTGAGTCTATTTGATACACAAAGTGTTGGTATACAGGCCGGCCTCACGCCAACTCTATCCTAGTGTACATGTCCCACCCCATTCGCGTAGCTCCCCAGCTGTCCCGTTATGATACATCAATCGCCGGGTCCTAAACGCATCTGTTGACCCGAACAGCGCCTATACCGGTTGTCCATGTCCAATTACCCATGCATTTTACATAGACTTGAGGTAGTTGGACTCCTTGATCTTGCGCTTACGCTCGCTGCGCATGGCCTGTCTCAGCTCCTCGCGCTTTCCAGCCGCCATGAGGTTGTCTTCGACACTGCCGCCCTCCTCACCAGGCAGGTTAATAGACTGCTGGAACAGAGGTACCTTGGGTGCCAGGGCATCGATGCCGCCCTCGGCGAGGAGCTTGGCCTTGCGCTTGGCGGCCTTGCGACGAAGCTTTGCAGATTTGGCTAGGAGGGCGTTAGCTTTGGTACTGTCACGCGCAGATGGCAGCTCGGAGCTCATCGGCAGACCAGATCAGACAGGGTGGATAGATACTCACAGAACTCGTCGGCAGCCCCAGCATCGGCGTCAGCATCCTCCTTAGCCTTGAAGACCAGGCAGTCCCAGAGCCAGTCGGGGTATTCCTCGTCGGCGAGGGCGACAGGGTCGGTCTTGCCCTTGAAGTAGTTCAGGCCATTGAGCACCGTGCCGGCCTTGCAGGAGGAGGGTTCACGGACCGGCTTCGCGGCGGCAGCGGAAGGGAGGTCGATGGGCGTGGAGAGAGTGGGCGTGGCGGTGGGTTCGGCGGTCGACGAGGCAGGCGAAGCTTCGGAGGTGCCCAGGCTGCCTGCTGGTGATGACCTTGTGGAAGCAGAGATGGAGAATGGTCTGGCAAGGGGGATCGGGGCGACAGTGCGAAGAGGCAGGGTCGTCGCTGCGCGACGGAGGCAAGTTCGGCAGATCATTGTCGCGGCTAGGGGAGAGGCGAGACGTCGGCCGTGGGTGGAGGACTGGCGTTTTGCTGAGGATGGAGGTGAGGTCTGTCGCGAGTTTGGGGGATAGGGACTAAAAATTCTGGGGTGGGCGGGATGAGCTCGGTGCGCAGTCTTGGCACGTGAGGTATCGACCACTGATAGATGTTGGTCTTGACGACTGATCAACAAAGACACAGCTTGAATGCGCCACCAGCTTCACAAGATTTCTTCAACTAGCATTAGTAGAAATACTGAGAACGGGAAGCTTGTTCGTGCATCAGGCATCGGATTGTGGACAGGCGGATTTGTTGGATAGGTGCATAACTCGGTTCGCTCGACTACTCTATATGTACATGCTGAGATATGGCTCCGGCCTGATGCCGTCAAACCACGTTCCCTGGCCTCAATACTCTCCAAGGATCGCTGATTGCACTTCGTCTCTATCCTTGCAGAAGACTCATCATCTGCATCTCCCGATCTCCACAGCATTGAAGTTCAGACATCCCAGTTACCGCCCCTCATTGCTTGTTCTCCTGCTTCGTGATGTAGTTTGTTTGCTCGAACAGAGTACCCGTGACCTTCTTCTCCTTCAGCAATTGCAGGTACCTCTCTGTGAACTTGTTAGTCTTCTTTTCTCATAAACTTCTCTCCCAATGGTCATGTATCGACCAGGCGGAGGGGACCTCGGCGTGCTAACCTCGCAGGTGACCGCACTTCTCCAGGTGGTTGACACCCTCGCGCAAGTAGCACTTGCCCAGCTCCTCGCCAGTGAGGCGCACCATCATAGCTCCGACCCATTGTTCCCTGATGATAGCGTCCTGTGCCTGCTTGAATGCTTTGTTGTCATCGTAGTCGACGCCGTCGAATGTGGGGGCGACCTTCGGCTTCTGGGCCAGGAACATGGGGGATTCGGGAGTCGGCATTTTGGCAATTGGCGTTGCTCGGGGCGGTGGACAGAGTTGAGGAGGCGTGACAGTTCGTGAGGGTGGGATGAATGCTGGCTTGGAGTGGTTTGGTAATGTCACGACGTTCAATGGGCACGGCTCTGCGCGGCAAGCTCGAGTTTCGATTGTGGCCTGTCAATCCAGGCAAAAGAAGAAAACGGTACGTACCTTCGAGATCCCCAGGCTGCTGGCCGTGCGCATGCAGGCTTCTCTGGTGCTCACCGCCCGCTCCACAACAGCTGCAGAAAAAGTTGCAGGACCCGCTAAAAAATCAAAAAAATCGAGGACCCTTTGCGACCATCCCAACCACCACGGCAGTCTCCCCCCAAGGTTCCTTAAAACCCTGCACCTGCCCAGCGCAATCTCAGCCTTCGCACTTTCCTACACACTCTCGGGATTCTTCGACTGCCATTCTTCG